TACTATTTATCATATATATATATATATATATATTAGTACTATGGTGGCAATGATAAGTCCTCTAGAAATGTTTATAAATTGTCTAACCCCAACATTGTCTAACCAAACTGATCACAGAACTGTTAACACCCTACAGGGCATGCTTCAGCAATAAACCGCCATAGATATTTGCTAGCATGTGTACAGCCCAGTGATAAGATGCAAATAACAATTTCCCGATTCTTCTAAAATTCTAGCATGATATAAATGATGAAAAGAATTTGGTTGTGACTAGATCCCTTAGCAAAACATAATTATAGTGTTTAGGCCTTGGAGGGACCTTGGACACTATGTATCTCAACCCTGAGCTTATGGCAGGAATTCACTGTACCACATCTATGCTGGGTCTGCTGCCATTTCTGCTTGGATGCTCCCAGTGGCAGAGAGCTCACTCACAACACAGTCCATCGAGTTATCATCAAATTTCTACTTCTGTTGAGTTAAAACCTACTACTCTAAGGTTCTAGATCTCATCCTAGATTAACCAAGTATAACCCACCCTCTCATATCTGCATGTCAGTTGTTATGCTCTCAGTTAACAGCGTATTAGGAATCTTCGGTTTCTATATTTCAAAGTATAATCAGGATAAATAAGGAAAGTGGTACTTGAATGGCTAGTGCAGGAGAAAAACAATTATCTTACTAGTTGAGTTATACAAATAAAATAATAGAAATCTCTTATTTGCAACCCATTAAGTTCTGAAAACAAAGGCATTTTTCATAACAAACTCATTTGGTAACTCTTCTAGTTGGGTTTCTATATTAGAGGCCCTTAGGCTGTGTGGATTATAAGCAACACAAATTTCTTTCTATGACCTTGGAGTGTAGAAGTCAGAGATCAGGGTGTCAGCAGGGTTGGACTGTGCTGAGAGCTCTTTTCCAGCTTGCAGACAGCCAACTCCTCCTGTGCCCTCACATGGTGGAGAGTGACAGAGCCTTTGGGTCTCGTTTATAAGGGTGTGAATCCCATTCATAAGGACTCTGCTATCATAACATAATTGCCACCCAACAGAACAGTCCCACATTTCTCACATTGGTTGCTAGGATTTCGGCCTATCAATTTGGGGAGCATTGCAAACATTCAGTCATTTGCAATGACAAAACTTAACCTACACTGATGTGAAGCTGTTTACAGTCTTTATCCACTTAGTATGCATATGCCTACATTTAAATAAATAAATAAATAAATAGTAATGTGTCATTATAGAAATAGAAATAGAAATAGAAATGTGTTTCCTCAGATCTCACTGGGAATATTATGCAACATACAGTGTATATGAACTGTATTACCTTTTTAAAAGTGACACAATCTGAATTCTGATGCACATGTGGCCCTAAGGATTTAGGACAAAGAGCTATGACAACATACTTTGCTTTGCACCGTCTGCGTGCTCAGTCTTGTTCACCTATGTTAATTTTTGTAGTATTCATGATTCTGTGAAGTAAAATACAATTCACTCTCCACTTTACCCATGAGGAAAGTTATCTAGTTTTGTAGACATTTTTCTTTTCTTATTGCTTATTTGATATTTGCAAAGGACACCAGCTCTCCTATAATGCACTGACAACAAAAAATATTAAGTCACAGGTTCTCATTTGGGACATTGGTCCACAGTAGAAGAAACTTTGCCTAAAAGAGGAGAATGAGAAGCCCAGTAATATAAAAAGAGCCCTCCGAGGCCTCTAGAAAGGTAGTTAATGGATTTGCAGTGTTCACATATTTCCAGCTGCTCTTTCCCCACCTAACCAGAACCTTTGGTGCCACTGGGAAAGTTATAGATGCCCTTGGTAGAGAAAAGTATTATTCTGCCTGTTGAATTGAACAAAGTGAAGACCTGGCCCTAGCTTCTGGGATAAGTTTCTTACTGCCTACTCTACTTCCCCCCGCCATGACCATTAGGATGAAAGTCAAGGATTATCGGCCTTCCCCAAATTTACCCCATTTGTTCTTTCCTATGCTTGAAATTTCCATGTGAGCATCTGTCTTTGTCAGGGTACTGAAAGCAACTACTGGATTATAAATTATTACATATAACATATAAAGGCCCCCTATTAAGTCATTATAAATTTAAGTATTCAAATGAGCTAACTGGTCACTTAGTCAATCCCAGAGGGAGCCAGATTTAGAATAGACCAGATTTGATAGGGAATGAAAGGAAAAAAGTCCGGGGCAGAATGAAGTAGGAGAGGCCCCTAATAATTTCACTGAGCACAGGCTGAATGAGACACTACAAGGGAAAGAGAGGCAGAAGAATAGGAGCATTGGGTCCCCAAAGTTCAGCCTTACCTACATCAGCTGTTTCCAGAAGGATTGTGCCTGTGCCTGTAGACCCTCCTCAAATAGTTGAATCGTAACATTTTAGACCATTCACCATATAACACCAGCTGATGTCCAGGGGCTAGAATGGATGCTTGAGCAGGGTCACAAGGGTCACAAGGCAAATAATAGCATGTATTAAGAACTTAAGCTCAACTGACACCAGTGTCCTCTTTGCTGTCAGTGTTCTAGTCGTACTCCTGCACGTGTTGCAACCTGAGCTAGAAAAGTCAACTCTCACTTCTCCATTTCTCCTCCCACACTCTACTAAGGGAACTTAGAATCATCCCTGTGCTCAGTCTAAATGTCACTTCCCAGAGATGCCTTTCCTATCCACACCTATCCTTCTACTCCAAATAAATTCCATTTATTCCACTGGTATCTGTGGCTGCTTTTTTTTTTTTCCTTTTCATTTGGAGCACTCACCACAACTTTTAAGTATAATTTATTTCTTTATTAAAAGAAAGAAATATCCCCTGAACTATAAATTCCATGCATACCCACTAAGAACAGGTTTTTAACAAAAATCTGTTCGATAAACCATTTTCAGAAACTGTGCTCTTTGTGTCAGCTATGGTAGCTCTTTCAATCTTCATTATAATCCTCTAAATTAGGCTTTACAGGTGAAATTTACAAGTCCAAGGGGCTCATTTTCATACCCTGGAATTGTGCAGTGCACATCCTGCACAACTGTATGCAGCAACCCTACTCAGAAATACATTGCTCTAAGCCATTTAGGACTAGTATTATCTCCAAGAGAAAAGTATCTCTGTTGTCTTTTCCACCTTTGTGACAACCATGGCTGGAGGGGTTAATAATATACAGAAAGTCCAATTAGTCTCACTCATCAAATCAGTCCTGGAGCTGAATGATGTCTTGCAAACCACAGGAAAAGACTCTTCTGTTTATATTTCATGTTAATTATTAATGGATTGGTTAATCAATTAGTTCCTGAAAGATTTATCCTGTCCTCTTTGTCCCCTTTATGTGTCCTGGTCAGGGTCAATGCACCTGCCCTCATGTGTGCACTGTGTTATTATGAAAGACTCCAAATCAAGGGCCATTTGGAAAACTGTAAATGACAAATTTCTTTTAATTCCCTGAAATGTTATAAGGAAGCTTATAAGTTATTTTGCCTCTCTGTACCTCAGTTTCCTCATCTCTTAATTGGGATATTAATAATATTGATTCTTGGAATTGGGTGAGAATAAAAAATACTTGACACCTCTAAATTCTACTTACTATATGTAACAAGTTCCACATAAGTACTAGCTATTGCTACTATAATAATGCTTATCTCATAAGTTGAGGAAACCGCGTTTAGAGGTATTACATGACTTACCCAAGGTCATACAGATAAAAAAATAGCAAAATCAAGATTCCAAGCCAGGTTACCTGACCTCAGTACTTAGATACTTTGCTCTCATGCTATCCCAGTCATGTTTCGTTGGACACAAGGGTTAAATATCTGCAAGAGAAGATTCAACCAAAGAGATCTTTCTAGAGTCTTGAAAGTAGGAATATTTCATGAACCAACTGGTAGTGACAAGACCTGCCTCCTGCAGAGAGAAGGGGAGCGCTTCCCAATCAAACTTCATTTTCCAAGGTAGAATGAATTTGGGTAACCTTTCTCTCTCGCTGAAGTTAAAAATACCTTTAAAAAATGAGTTTGTCATGTCTTGTTGCATAACACTGAGCAGTATTTATAGAACGTGGAAATGAATATGAAAACTTGTACTTTGATTCATGGCATATTAGAAGTGGTACTTCCATTAATAACTGACTTGAATTTTTCCTCCCAAATTATTGGAATGCTTATTAAACTTTAAAGGTATTTTTCTGACTGGGGGTGGGAAATGGAAAGGTAGAAACAGGGAGAAGCATATTCTTAAAGACATTAATAATCAAGTACTGATAAAGCAGTTGCATGTATTTTACATTTCATTCTGAGAGCTGCCTTCACCTCACTGGCAGCATAAGGTATTGAATACTGTTCATTTAGAAAGGTAAAGATTATATTTTTTCTTGAGTTAATCTTAAAAGACTTCATTGAAACAATATCTCATTGAAGATTTCAGCACAAACAATTAACTTAGGTATACCTAAGATTTGCATTATATTGATTCCAAAATAATTAACTTGGTAAACCCATACAAATACAAAGCCCCACTATCATTCTGTTGATGTCTAAAGGATGACTGCATCTTACCATGAAATGTATTTCCAAGTTTTGCCAAGTATTAAGGTGACTGATTTTATTTCTTTTATTAGATACTTAAGTTTCCCTTTCTTTTTTATATATTGCCTTAAAAAAAGAAACAACAACCCTGCTTTTACAGGCCTCCTGCTGCCTGAAAGCCTTCTTGTTCAGCACAGAGAAGATTTCTTGCTGATCAAATATCCCCCATTCTTCTCTTTAAGCAAACACTGAAGGCTTTCAGCAGCTGCCTGAGATATCACTTTAAAACCCTTAAGGCAGTTTGAAAGGCCTCCAAAAAAGCATGACATTCAATCAAAGTTCTGTAAGGAAAGTTTTAATGAATAAACTTAGTAAATTAGAAAGCACTGCAGCAGGGTGATTAACTCTCGTTTGTGCATTAGTGTTGAAATTAATTAAAATGTTTAAGCCATAGGAGGCTGGCTACCTCGTCAGGACCTGGCTCTGCCCTCAGAGTCAGTCTGGATCCAGGAGTGATTCATCTTACACAGATGAGAGGGGGATAAAAAGAAAAGAACAGCCAGGACAAATGTGTTTTCAGTGGTGCTTAACAGCAGGGAGACCATTGAGACTTCAGAGCAGTGCTACTGGAGTGTGACATCATAATACGGTATGTACATGGGGAGTGGAGTGAGAAGGGCTTTGCACACACATCCCTCCCTCTCTCTTTTGGATTGGATGCTGTGTATAGTAATTTCTCTGCCAGGCAGAATGCTGCAGCCTGCTCTCTTCAAGTCCACAAGATCACAAATTAGCTGTTTCCCTCACTCTTATTTCGCACCTGCTTCATGACCATTAAATGTTCATCCCTGGGAATATCCCTCACAGCACAGTGTCATGAGAGGTGGGCTTAGTGCCCTGGTGGATTTCCCTAAAATCAACTCCGTAGAATGTCTGAAAATATAATTGCCTCCAACAGACTCTCAGACACACCACAGTGGATTTATTGTTAAATTCCCTTGACAATGTGCAGAGCAGAAATCATCTTTTCAAGAAACCCAAAATATTCCATTCCCATTAGCTTGTTAAATATCTCCTAAGCTCAATTTCTTTCCAGAACTATGGGTCTGTGGATCTTCTTATAGAAACCCATTACCATGTAGATGTTTAACAAATCCCTGCCTGCTTAAAATTATAAATGACAGTCTATTTCATAAAGAGAAAAGTCCTTGTTGACAGGAAAACAATCTCAGTTGGTTCTCCTTGGATAACAAATGGGCTTGTGTCAGGTCCTGCACCATAGCTGTTTCCAAAATAGTGAAGCGATGGATGGCCATTTCTAGTGCCGAGGTCCAAATTAAGGGGGTTGCAGAAATTAGTGACTTCCTGCAAGCCTGAATTATTTCCTCCTGGTGAAAATTACCATGATTTGCTATGGATCTACATTCATAACTTTAAAAACTGTCTGTCTCCTTTATTTCTTTGCTCTAAAGATTTCTTGTCAGCTACAATGTCAGAGGTCACTGTCAGAGCGTCCCTTTGGTACCCATTAACTATAACCAGCAAACTTGTTCACTATTGATCCTCTATGTCTAAGTATCTATTATGGTGGATATAAAAGGTGGCTTCACATCTTTCTAAACAGATAATTCATAAAGGCCAAGGGGTCATAGCTTGTGATATATTATTCTTTCAGTGTAACTGTGACTGAATAGAAAATGAAAAAGAGCAAGAGAAAACATGTGAAGGGTCATGAGTCTCAGACTAGAGAGGTAAAAGTTGTGTGTCAATTGGACACATTAACATCCATATTAATGATAACAGGCATTAATAATATTTGTACATGACCTTATTATTGATTCATTCTATGCAGAAGCAGAGGGCCCTGGAGTATATGAAGACAGAGTTCATTTTTTAACCACCAAAGATTAGTGTAGGTTGAACTCTAAAATGGAAGTCAACTAAAGACAGTAAAATATGTTCTGGCAGCCAGATATTGGGTCCTACATTTTGCAGGTACTGGGGGCCGAACAAGGACTTGGGGAACAACAGCCTGAAATACGAACTGCTCAGGATCTGCTGAGCTGCCATGGGCTCAGCCCATCCCCACGATCCTTTGGGATTGTTTGATTTCTCGTGTTCTGTAACCTGTGCTGGTTCGTATTGAACATTCAGCAATACACTGCAGAGGCCATTGAGGATGTTCCCCACGTTCCCATCCTAAAGTAAAGCATCTCATTAGGAGAACAATGAGGATCTAATGAGGGAGCCTTGCTCACAAGTTAGCTGACATTGGGCTCATTTAATGCCGTTTATGGTCTTCTACCCACTGGAGAAACGAAGATGGTGCGCTTTCTCAAGACTACGGTTTGGAGGAAAGTAAATTGAGATGAATCATGGTGAGATGAGATAGTTAAAATGTCATGCTCCGTAAGTTTGAATGCATCCTTCAAGTTCTGAACAGTAAAATGCAACTGAACACTGAAACAAGGGAAACAAAGAAAAGCAGATACCTAACAACACAAATCTACAAATCTTTGACAAGCATGCTTTACAGGGGAAGACCAAACAGTACCTTTTCAGACCTATGTCTGAGCACACACCCAGGCACAGGCATGTGCACCCAAGCCACACTCCCTCCTGATTTTACTTTCCTTTTACTGGCTTACCTATTATGACTGAGAGGATGACACACCAAAATTGCAAAGTTTCAGCGATAAACAATCAACCACTAGCTTTATTTCTGTTTTTAAATGTTAGCTGAGGAAGTCCCTAAACTGACTAGGCAAATTACACATTGTATTCCGGTAAATGTGGAGCTAGTGATGATGTGTTTTGAGAATCAGAATAAGCCCTTTTAGCAAAAGGAGAGAGTTTGAAGACAGGCTTGGGGGTGAGCATGGGCGGATGTGGGAGCTGTGGAATTGTTCTGCCGATTTCTCCTACAGAGCCCCATTCATTTCAAGTATCTACTAACTCTATAACTCTTTAAGTTAAAACGTCCTAAGAGAAACCCAAGAATGACCTATTTCCTGGAAGCGACCAATCTAAGTTAATAGTCTGACCCTGGGAATAGCTTTTCTTCTTTATGTGAAACCCCAGATACTGAGTCAACTGAGGTCTTGAGGGAATTTCCCTTCAATATCTGTAGTTCTTAACCTTTTTGTGGATCAAAAACCCTTTTGAGCATATAACAAAAACTGTGATTTCTCTCTTGGAAAAAATGCCCATACACACAAATTTTTGCATGTGTCTTAGGGGTTAGTAGCATTGCTGAGGTTAGGGCCCATATTCTAAATAGGATTTTTTTTTTTACTCAGATGAACATTTGTGGAATCTGCCCTTCCTTCTTCAGTACCATAAAGAAAATTATTAAGGTCAAAGATGAGCCAGTAACAGTAACCTCTAGATGCCAAATAATACCATACCTAATAATAATGTCTAAATGTCATGTTAGTGGTCTCTGTGGATATCGCTATTCTTCATAGTAATTTTTATTTTTATTTAATGTTTAGAAATGTTGTTAAAAGTGACTACTGTTTCAAAATGTGACCTCTCTGAGGTTTAAAACCTACTGAATCAGATGAGATATGAAAGTGTTCAATATAATGTATGACTTAAAGCTATGTTTTTAAAACTTTAATAGGAAATGTCTGACTCTTAGATCACTGTTTCTAAAGCCTGGCAGACAGAAACATGTCTTTTAAAAAGATCTAATTTATATACCAAATAGAGATCCAGCAGGTAGAAATAATGCCTGTCCTTTTTATCCCATGCAAATCAGAACCTCAGCTCCAGTAGCAGTTTAGCAATTACAACTCTTCCCATTTCTTTTTTTTTCCAAATATTTTTCAGGTATTGTGGTAGACAGTGGGATGCCAGGATAAATAAAGCATAGTTTTTGTCCTCCAGAGGCTTTTGGTCTTATAAGAGGACACATGCCTATACACTACAGCATCCTTTCCCTTCTTCCTCCCTCCTGACAGAACTCCATTTCATTCAGATACCCACTTCTCCTCTGCATCAGCTATGTGATTTGGGGGGGACTGATGCTAAACCAATCACGGGAATCCTTCATATACCCTTAGCTGTGATTGGTTCAGGTACCCTGGCCTCAGCCAGTTAATATTCCCCATTCCCTAGGTTATGGCAATTGGTCCAAGCATGGACATGGTAACCTAAATTGGCCTCATCACACTGAAGGAAAGGACAGCTAGAGGGAAGGTTCTCACTCTTTCCTTCTAGGAGTATTGCCCTGGCCGATTTGGGAAAATTACGAGAACCAAAGTAGACGCTCTGATTGAACCACACCTGAAATTCATTATAACTCTAAATGGCCTTCATGTGAGATAGGTTACTTTTTCCTTTTTTTTTTTATTAGAATAGGGATTTATGCTATATATAGCCCCCAGACATCCTAACTGCCCCCATATCACTACAGTCTATAATGATAGACCCCCTACTAGGCTATGGGAATCTTCAGAGGAGCCCTAAGGATGGACACAATCATTCTGGTGGGAAATTTTCAGAGGAGAGGATGCTTGAGGTAGGTTTTGATGATTGATAGGACTTAGCTGGGCAGATATCGAAGGTAAGGGGGTTCTAAAGAGAAGAACAAGTGAGTAGAGGTGTGATGCCTTCAAGGGTATGGGGAGAGTTGTATGACTAGAATAAAAAGAGCAATGGTGAGCGGGGGTGGGGGGGTGGAGCAGATAATGAGGTAGGCGGGGGCCAGATCATGAAGAGTCTTCCACTCCATGTAAATGTGGATTTTCTACTGAAGGTAATTGGGAACCATTGAAGAATGTTAGGCTGTGAAGGGCATGATTGATTTTGTATTTTAGACATACACTGGTGGCTAGGGTGGAAGATGCATTGGAAAGGACAGTTATGGAAACAGGGGCATCAGTTCAAGTATCTCCATCTTGTTAATTTTTAAGCATTCTTGGATCTTCCTTTCTCGATAGTGTAGGAAAGGTATCTATGAAGATTGATACAGAAAAGTCACTGTTGATCAAAATCTATAAAAAGGTCCAGATCAGTGAACATTTGCTGAATGCTCATAAGTCAACCTTGCACAAGGTCATGGAAAGAGCCCCTTACTTGCTGTGTTGATCTTTAGCTAGTTGCTTAACCTTTCTAAGATTCCATTTCCTTTTCTATAAAGTAAGGATCATAATATCTACTTTGCATGACTTAGATGAGTCAAATAACACATAAGCATTTAGTACAGAGCCCACAAGATCACAGAGACTGATTAATGATTCATTAACTGATTGAGTGACTAGATGACATGAGTGGTTTTCTCTACTTATCCATAATATGTGATTCTAGATTTGAAAATTATGAGTCCAGTGCTTTGGGAGATGTTACCACCAGATGAACAAGTTATTCCCATTTCTTTCTGAGAAGAGTTTAATTCTTTTGGAATTTTTTCAAGTGAGGACAGATTTGCCCACCGGAATTGCAGAACTTTTCTCAGTCTTTAATTAAAACAACATGCTTTGGAGTTTTGCAGATGTGTAACTCTCGCTTCCTTGGGCTCAAAGGGTGGGACCATGAAAATTGCTGTAGAATGAATTGATTTGGGATTTTCATAAGATAGCCACAATGAGCTTCAGAGACTAGGTTTTGGCCTGAATGTAAAGGGTACACTGTTTTGTACAACCTATGGGCAGGGCAACCAGGTGATTTGTGTTCCTTTCCTTGAGCCCAATTTTGAGTCCTCTAGGTTGACTGTACCTATTCAGGATGTAGGGCAGAATTAAAGGCAGTGGTAGGACAATGGGGAACCAGTGCCAAACTGAAGATAGTTTCACTTCTCAAGAAAACGTGCAAGTACAAAGTGCAGTGGTTGAGAGCCTTGCCATCAGAGGCATCAGGGTTTGAGTTCTAATTTGCTCACTATTAAATATGTGACCTTGGGCAAGGGACCTAATCTCTCTGTGCTGTAATTTTTTTAACTTGTAAAAGTGGGGCCTTCCGCAATCCTCTAAATGGGAGCATGCCTATTTCTTGAAATGTTATGAGGATGGAATAAGTATACATGAAAGGCATATGTGCAGCATAATATATATGTAGCATATGGTTAATATACATAACCTATCATTACTGTCTGCAATGGTCATCTGTAATTTTGGGTCCATTTATCAAATAGTTGCTCTTCTATTAGTACCCTGATTTCCTTTTAGGGAATTACCTTTCCTGATTAGGTGTAGTCTTGGTGCCCTCTAGTGTGCTGACTGTCCACCTTAGAAGTTGAGGAGTCCCTGGAGGCTCTGCCCATAAATCTTTGCTTTCATCACCCAGTAAAGTCTTGAGGTGAGCATGTGACTGGAACTCAATCAGAATCTCTCTTTTTGGACTCTGAATCAGGCACCGAGCAAGGGTAGAAAAAAAAGTGGGGCAGTACCTGAAGAAGACAGCCTTCCCTACCTCCCTGTTGCTACCCATATCATTCCTAGAAAGTCTCCTCTTGCTTAAGTAACAAGAGTACATTTCTGTTGCTTCCAACAGAAGTGAAACACTATTACTTTCTTCATTAGGAATCAAGTATTCCTCTTCACACTTTTTTTCACCCCAGTGTGCTCCCCCACCACTGCCCTACACAGAATTTCCCCCCAAAACACCTTAAATTTGTGTAGCTCCATGTGTGTCTTCAAGATGTTCTTTTTGCTCAAATTCCCGTATTTAACCGCCATCCTCTAATGGGCAAATTCTAACTTGTTCTTCAAACACTGAATCAAATGTTACTTGCTTTAAGAAGTCCTTAAGACTCCCCTCACTCAGCAGTACAAATGTATTCAAGGTCCTCCACCTTTTCCATTCAATAAATGCAACAGCATTTACTGAATTTGCCATGTTGTATTATGATTGCATTATTTGCTACCATCATCTGGTGTGCTCTTGAGTAGAGGGGTCAAGTCTTGGATTTCATCATCTTTGTTTTGTTAGTACCTACTTAACCTACATGCTTGAGCAAGCACATGAATTGCATGATTTTGTGGACAGCATTTATACTTGGGGCATGTCTAGACAACGTTACAACAGCAGGCCAATTCCACAGGCCATCCAGTTCTCTCAGTAGTGATGAGCAAATCTATCTTTGTCTCAGTTATCAATATTTACAATCTGAATTGAATCAAAAAAATTTAAATCCTTGTCTTAACCTCTACTTTGAGAGTTACACTGGGAATAACTAAGATTTATATGCAAAATACCTAATAAATGTTAGCTCACTTGAACCTCAGAGCATCCTTCTGAAGTAAATGGTGCTATTTTCCCCATTTCACAGATGGGGAAACTGGGGCACAATGAGGCTGAATCACCACCCTACAGTTATATGGCCAGCAAGTGAGAAAACTGAGTTTCCTAGTTAAGCTGTTTTCTACTTTGTGGCACAGCCTCTTCTGGAGATTGAGGAATAAGCAGACTCAGCTCATACCAGTGATGCTCAACCTATTTCATAACTTGGGGTTTGGAAGCTATTTGGTGGCTATGAACTGAGATCTGACCACCTGAAGAAGCATTGACAGTGATGGCAAAGTGCTGCCACAAAGGAGTGGGTTTTTTAGCTAAGCTACATTACAGTAGTGATGACGAGGAAGGGGAATCCTATGATATTTGAAAAGATTGAGATACCCTTGTGCCAGTAGTAGTCACATTATTGGCCTTGGCTAAATGTACTAACCCGATTTGGTAGTAGTAGAGGGTAGGGGCTCAACGATTAGGATTTTAAGTCAGTGAGTCCTGATTGTGAGACCTAGCTCTGCTCTCTGCTACTAAGTAGTGACCTAGCGTTAAGTACTTAACCATTGTGTGACTCAGTTTCCCCATCTGTAAAATGGGGATTGGTAAAATGGGAAATCTGTAAAATGGGAAATGTCATAATATAATTATGGGGGTTCAATGAGATAATTACATGGAAATCAGTTGGTTTACCTGCCTCCTAATATGCGGTTAATCATGTAAATTTTAGTTCAAAATCCCTGCTAGTTACGAGATATTTTATGAGCTGTGGCTCTTGGGTCCTTTAGGGAACAGAAAGGGAAAGACTAGTGGTGAGAAGAGAGTTTCCCATCCTCTCTGCCAGGGAGAGCACAGTCCTTAATAACTGACACCACTGCCTGAAGTCCCACAGGCCATACTTTTCCACAGGATTCCACTGGGTATGAGTACAAGATAGGGTTTATGATTTTCACATCCAGTTGTCAGGGCTGATGGTCTATAGGATTATTCTGTATGAACAAATCCAATGTCCTTTTACTGCTCATTTCCCCCTTTAAATTTCCAATGGAAAAAAACCAACAACCCTTCAAAGATGAGTTTAGTCAAAAAGGCTTATTTTATTACTGGTATCTTTTTCCAAAGAACTAATGATATTTCTCATAAATTCTGAGCATTCTATGGGCTGTGACAGCCTGTGCTTGAGTGAAGTTAGCAACAAGGAAGAGAAGTTTGGTCATGATTTTCCCAGAATCCATCAGAGCACATGGGCCCTGAACCCTGGTACTCAGATGAGGAAGGATTCTAACCCACCAGTACATTTAAGCTTTCAACTTTGCAGATTCTAGATTCAGAAGCTTAAGCCCTTCAAATATGTGGTATGGAATCCCCACATCATCATTAAACTCCCCATTAGCTGCAAACAAGTAAAGTTTACTTGTGTAAAACAAGGTACAGTTTCCCTTAATGTATCTGTCTTCTATTTTAATAAGCATAGTATACATAGCTCACAAATTAGACCCCTTTTCTGGAGAATTAGAGGTTGAAAATTGGGATGGAAGTGAGAATAAACCTGAACTTCAGGAATCTTAAGTACACTTAAAATAATGTTATTAATAGACATTCTCCATCTGGGATTTGATAGAATGGAAAGAAATCTTTTGCCGCCTTCTCTCTATTCAGTTAGTGCTGAATGCTGGGACATGTGCATGATGCACAATGTTCTCAAAAGGCCAAGCCCACAGTTCGTAGGGCCCTCTTGGGACTGTGGATAGGTGTTTTCACTTCACAGCTGGCACAAGTGTGAACTCCCACCACTGGGATATGGAACAATTTGTAATGTAACAATTAAGGGAAATATTGACTTAAGTATGCACTCAGTAGGGGACTGGTAACCCTGGAAATCAGCAGAAGGCACAACCATGCCAGGTACATCATCTCCAGGGATTCTGAAGCAATTCAAATGACAAAAGGGCACTTGGTATCTTGAGAAGTACTCCATCTCCCTTTATGTTACTCAAGGATGAAGTTAAAAGTGACACTTCCTCCTCCACTCAGCTTGAGCTACATTGAAGGGATGAAGCATATAAAATGCAGTTTCTAAAATGCAAAGACTCACAGTGTCTGCCAGTTTTACAATTCTGTAATTATAATTAAGAAAATGTTCTGCTGGTCCTTCTCCTGAGGGTGCAAGGGATACCAGGGCCACCACAAAGCTGCATTTTGCATAGCCTGGATGATTGCAAAACTCCCCACCAGCCACCCCCCACCAATAAAAAAAAACCCATCAGCTTACATCTCAGCCCCCCATCTCAGTTCTCATATACTTTCATCTTGTTCCCAGGATCCACTAAAGTAAATAAGATGTCCTCCCAGATAATGGAAACCCCACCAGCTCTCAGTTAGTGCCTTTTCATGCCAATTAAACACATTTTATACAGTCATCGTAGATGCATCAATGACTGCTTTCGGAGACGCCAATAGGGCTCAGCAGACATCAGCCAAACAAATGAAATGTATTTCATGTGAGTTTTCTTTCTGTCTTATTCTAACCACTTGGCAACGGTCTCAATTGAAAACATTGATTCTGAAAGATATATATGGATATATATAAACTGATTAACCAGCTTATTTGCTGCTGATTACTTTACTAATAAAGATCTCAGAGTGCTTAATTTAAATTAATACTTCCTTCATTAATGAAAACCCAGCTTAGAACATTAAAAAAAATCTTGACAGATGCATTTATTGCACAAACATACATTTATCTACGCCAAGCCAATTGAACATACAATCATATTTGGCTGGGGTTATAATTGATAATGATTCTACAGTTATTACTTCAGTTAGGTGTGTGTTGTTCATCCAAGATATTCCGATGGCCTGATCGTGTTTTCTGCTTTCGGTGGCTTTGAGCAATCTGTGGGACCTGAATGGAAGCATGCAAGGTAAACACAGGACATTCGGTCACTTCTGAGATAAGGTGCAGGATTTTCTTGCTGTCCCTTCCCCAACCCTCCAGCCTCCTCTGTCTCAAAAAACAAAAAAGAGGACTGGCTGATTTTCTAGTGTAGTAAAACTGAAAAAGGGGACAAAAGGTGTCCATTGAGAAGACCCAGGGATTAAACAAAATTGGGTTATTGATTAACCAAGTAGCTTGGTCACCGGATATTTGTGACAGCCAAGACCAGAGTCTCCCGCCTCTGGACTTTATGGGCCAATATCTCCCAAGATGAGTGAGCTTGCAGTGGCTCGGATGGAC